AGGTGAATGTGATTTGGAAGGATGAGAAGGTTGACAGGAAGAATTGAGAGATTTCATTTTTTGTCAGGTGTAGAAATGAGGATCAAAATAAGAGGGAAAGTTAAGCAGAATAAAGTAAAATAGAGTATTGTCTCAGTTGCTGCATCAGAATTGTGGTTAGAAGACTTTAGTGCTCCTGTGAAATAACAGCAGTAAAATTTTACTGCTTTTACATAATTAAGAAAGGAGCGGATTGGGAAAGTCTTTTAATGTGGCCATCTGAGGTACCTCTCTTCTGCAATAAATTGCATAAAATTATTCTCTTGATGAGTTAATATTGGCTGTAAAATGTATCTGCAGGCTTTCTGACACTGCTGCATTTTAAATGCTTGGTATCCATTGAATTATTACAATAGTTGGTTCCTTTTGGAAATGACTCATCACTCCATCAGACTGAAAGTTTTAATTTAAATATTGAACCTGCTGAATTGGGCCACCCAATTGAACTACTACCTTTGAAAGGTGTGTAGGAGGATCTGGAATTTGATGATACGACAATTTTCAGACCTCATTGTTCATTCCTAAGCGGTTTGTCCTTAGAGATTACTTCTAATTGTAAGAATCTTCTAGAATGTCTTTAAGTTTTTCCACAGCTATTGCCTCTCTATCCCATTACCTGGTGTTGGTGATGTCATGACATCAATTTTTCCCCCTTCCCCAGTTACTGGGTTTTTCATGTATCCATGTGCATGCACAAATGTGGGGTTTTCTTCTTAATACTCTGATCACTGCCTTGCTTCCTATCTTGCTTATTGTGATTCTTTAAAAGCAGCTTTAAGAAATCGTCAGTTTTATAAAAAAGTGACCTGCATGACCTTGGCCTCATGCTATATATTCAAGGGATTTGATGTTTTAAAATGTTGGAGTCCTTTCACCTCACTGCATTCTCCAGATGTGTAAAATTAGCAGCATTATAAAATTCTATATATTAAATATAGAACTATGGGCACCAAATAGAATATTATTTGTGCAGCTTCCCAGATACATTTCCAGTTCAGCCTCTGCCTAGGATTTCCTAACAGCAGCAAATTCTTTGAAGTCCATTTAATATTCAGGCAAATCCCCATGTTAGGATTATTTTTAGGTATCTATGCTGAAGCTGTTTATATAATTATATATAATAAATGGGAATACCATTAGTCATTATTGCAGTGAGAACCATCTCTGGTTCTGTGTTTGGATATATCTCTTGGAGAAAGATTTTTGACAATATACTGTATCTATACTCTTTATTTAAATAGTTTTAGGCTTGTGGAATTATAAATAAATAAAAAACCCAAACAAAATAAAAGAAAAACCCCCAAACAAAACCAAAAAAATGGAACAGATGCTGAAATAGCATCAGAAAGCTATGAAATATCTGTAATGGAGTTAAAAAGCTGTAATGTAAGAGTGGTCTTCTTTCACTGTTACCCAGAGGTGTACTAGAAAGGGCAGGAGGTAATACTTTTCCCAAGAAAAAGCCTTTCCCTTGTATTGCTGTTAATCATCACTGGTTATTGGTTTCATAGTTGTTAAGCATCTAATCACCAATACTCAATAGTACTACCAAGCTCGCTTGGACCTGGGGACTAGCTCAGTTCCAATCAATCTTTTCCTCTGAAAGCAAGATTTCTACACTTGTTTCAGATGGAAATCTCCATCTTCAGTGCAGAGGCGCACAGGTTTTCTTAGCCTGGTACACATGAAGCATGGTCAGCAAGTCCCTGTTGTGACAGAACCTTTATCTAGTATATTTTATTGAGGTACTTACTGCTTTTGTTGGATGTGGTTTTCATTAGAAGTCCTTTCTGATAGGCAAGAGTGGATGTCTGGCCTGAAACCAGCCTTCTTTTGTCATCAGTAGTTGCAGACTTGGCATGCCAAGTCTGAATTGTGTTTGTTTTCCTACCTTTCAGTGCTGGATTAGACATAGTGAGAAGGTTGTTATCACATCCTGAAGGAAAACTGTCTTGTTTTTTTTCTGTCAGAGAAGAGCCATGACTCATTCAAACTGGTTTAGATTGTTCTAGTTGTGTTGATTTTTATTTCTGTAGGGTTCTCCTCAGTCCCCAGAAGTACAATTTGTAAAAGGTTCAACAAGCAGAAGTACTGTCACTTTTCTGATCCTGTTGCAGAAGCTTTTTGCTACTAACTTGTAGATTTTAATTCTGCCTATTGAGAACGTTACCTATTGAAAAGAGGGTGCAACTCTAGTGAGTAGAAGATAGGAAGACAAATCAGTGTATACTGTTGATCTGTTGTGCTTCAGTAAGGCAGAAATCAGTTTCTGAAATCTTTAATGTGGTCTAGGATAGGGTGAATGCAGTTTGTACCAGTTCAAGAGGATGGCATGGAAAGAGGCCTATGTGTGAATAGAAGAGCAGTTCACAAACAGATGTCGAGGCTGAGAAAATTGGCCAATAAAGGGCAAATTAGTGTTGGGCAAGTGAAAGGCAGAATGATGAGGAGCATCTCTGTGATGATGGTAATAATCTTTTGTGCTGGTTAGAAGTCAGACAGGAAGGCAGTGGAGGAGATGTGTAATGGTTAGTTACAGCATCACAACAGCATCTGGAGATCAAAATCAGATATATGTCTGCCATTCCAGCTCACAGGAAGTGAAAAGACTTTGATTTGATATCATGCAATGTGTGGTTTTGCTATTTGAAACAGTTTAATTTCTTCTCATGGTTGGTGGGTGGTTTGCCTGTTACAACTTGTAGGCAAGCCACTTTTACTTCGTTATAATGTGAACAAACATCTTTAATTTATGGCATGCATGCCATATGCACTGGTACAGTGTTTTTATCAAATGTTATCAGAGACCTTCACAACACAAATTTCTGCCAATAGGGTTTGTTCTAGTGGTTTAGTACGTTTCTCAGTTTGTGTTTGTGCGAATGCTAATGAAAAATGACTCAATTAGTTAATCAGATTTGGTATATGTACACTTTGGGAGTTCAAGGAATTTGTTGGATGTCCTTAACATTTCCAAGGCCTCGGCAACCTCAGAATAAGAGCAAAACAGTGATGATGTTTAAAAGTGCATTAATTCTGTTACTTGGTTGACGGAAACACATGCAAATGTTGCTTATAGCATAAACTAGGAAATGCCTAGTTCTAATAATATGCTAAACAGTGGCTAATACTTCATCAGCTACCCATACATTTTTAAACAATTAAAAAAATGTTTGTTCTAAGAAAAAGAACATAGTCTAAAAGGAAGAAAGATATATGCATGCATTGTCAGAAAAATGGAGTATTTTGCGAAGATACATTTTCTAAAGGAGATTGTATCTCATTTACATTGACAAAGCAGTCAAATTTATAGCTTTATTTGCATCTTAAAATACAGTTTACATGCCTTGAGCTGACTTTTAGACTACATGGATTTAAGACACGTAGACCAGATATATTTAAATAAATGTGTTTCTCTTGCCATACAGTGAACTCTGCTTTCTCAAGTTGCAAAATCAATTGTTTTCTTTTTTTTGGGTGATACAAGAGAAAATCTATTAGGAGGCAACATAAAGCTGTTTTTCATACTGCTTGTAAGCTGTAGTGGAGAGAATAGCCTGCCCAAATTACAGTGGGAGCTGTTGCTAGGTAGGATTTTATAGAGATTAGCAAGTTATATTTTCCGTAGTTGTTTTATTTTCAGTCTAGATGTCTCAGACACTCTTATATGCTGTCTTCATTAGAGGGGGAGTAAAGAGCATACAGGATGTCAGATGTCTGTGAAACATGAGATCTATGAATGATGTTAATGTGAAGTTTAAAATGTATCTAATACTTTTGTTGCTGCTTGGATGTATAAAGTCAATAAGATTTTGGAAAAACAAGGTGTTTTCGCCTTTTTTTTAGGTTCTAAATCCTACTTTGCCTGCAGTAACTTCATTATTGTTGCATACTGCACATGCCGTAGAGACCCAGCTTGCTTTTCAAGAGCTGATGCATAAGTTCACTTTTTGAACAATTTACTTGTAAACGAGGAAACTTAAAGTTGCTTTTTCATTTTCTTAAATTTTAATCCCACACTGGTATTTTATGGCAGATTTAAAGTAGTTAAAACATGAGAGCCAAAAGAGTCATTTGTCCTCCTCAAAGCTGCAAAACAAAACTTCTGACTTTATAATAGCCTGTTACAATAAAAATTTGATCTAGTAGAGCTGAATGCATTTTAATGATTAATGCATTTTGGTGCTCATTGCTTAGGTTGAAATCTGTTTATTTATTTATTTATTTGAATTTTGCAAATACCTGCAGTCTAATCCCCTTGCTTAGTTTTTTTTTTTTTTTTGCAGGGGAATATGGAGTAAGTGGAGTGGAAAATGCCCCTGTCCCCACACCATGCGCAAGGCCATATGTTGTTTACATTGTCTTGGCCTGTGACTTAATTTTATGACATTCCTGACATAAAACATAAATGTTATTTTCCTTGTCATTTTGCAGTCTCTTTTGGATGGAGACTCTCCTAGGTAGATTGCTACTTCTGTCCACACAGATGGCAAATGTGGAATGAAATAAATCACCTCAAAGAAAATTCAGCTATATTTTTGGGAATAGACTTATGATGAGCTTTTCAACATAATTATCCATTGTGATTGCATCTTGGGGATGAGGCCATTCGTCTGAGGGGATCTGGCATAATTAACAATTCTTGGTTGTTTCACTTTTAGTATCCAACAAGAAATCTAATATTGCCATTAGTGCAATCAGGAACAGTAGTAGTACAGCATTTTACTTCTATCTTAGGTTGCAAACGCCATGAAGAACTCACTGCCCTTTGATGCTCCTGATGCATCGCAGGAAGGCCAGAAGGTACTGAAAGTAGAAGTTACTCCAACAGTGCCGAGGATTTCTCGGACTGCTATTACAACAGCTTCTATCCGTCGTCATCGCTGGAGAAGAGAAGGTGAGCTCTCTCTGCCAAGAGCAAATACTGTAGCATACTGTATCCATCATCATCACTGTAATCTGGCTTCTTTGGATGTTTGCAGAACAGTTGGTTGGGGTTTTGTTTGTTTTTGAAAAGTGATACTCCATAACAATGTATAATATTTTACATCTTCAGAGCACTGCATGAACATGAACATCTGGGGTGTTTGTTTTGGTTTTGAGTTGGTGATAACACATGAGGTAGGTGAGAAAATGGAGAAGCTGGAAAATGTTCAATAAGGCTTCTTTTTTTTCCTCCATGTTAACACGGCATAAAATTGTAGGGTAGAGTTTGGCTTAGAATTTGAGTTCTTTCCTTAATCCACACTAAAACTCAAATGCCTCCCATCATAAATACTTTAGGGAATGAATGGTATTATCCAGGCCTTGACAGGGTTCCAGCTACCTAAAGCTGCTGAAGGCAGTGGGAGAGGGAAAAGCTGAGCATCACAATCCTACCATTATGTGGCCCAATTTAGTGAGGGGCCATGTCATAAAATAGCTGCGGATAGCTTAGAATAAGTCCTTATTTTTCCTCAGTGAGTACTTTGTCATATGAAGCATGCCTGACTGTATAAAGAAAAATAATAAATACATAGTAATATTTACCTTGATGTGATGCCATCTTCAGTGTAGTTGTAGCAAAAGGCTTGCTTTGAAATAATTTTGTCATAAAGCTTTGTTGCTGCATCTATAATACATTGATTAAAAAAAGCTGCATAAATGGCTGAAGGTAAAAGGTAGAATAACCTAAACATAAACCGAGGGTAAAGTCTGCATATAAAGATTACATGTTTTCCTCTGGTACTCTGGTTTTTGTTTGGCTTGCATTTTGTTTGTTGGGGTGTTGTTTGTTTGTTGTTTTTTCCCTGTATCATATGCAAAAGGATTTGATGACCTGAGGTCTTCAGCTGAATCACGATATACAGGACAAGTAGCTGTATTCTGTTCTCAGAACTCTGGGTCATGTTTGTCTTCACTGTAGTTGCCATTATATTCATTTGCTAGTCTCTGGTCTGCAGTATAGTCCGCCTGTCCCTTTCTGTGGATGTTCTCACAACTTCTGAGTAAGCATGGATAGTGTTTTGTTTGTTCCTTGTCCACATAAATCTTCTATTTTCCCTGCCTGGGTTGGAACACCAAGAAAGGAATAGAAAAGCACTAAAATGTTATATGTTGAATCCCAGATGGCTTTGACTTCTCAAACGAGGCTGACTCAAGCATACCTGGCTCACCGATCCAACACGGCTCCACAGACGTAGGGATCAAACGTGAGCAAGAGGGGGAGGTGCTGATGCGCAGGACCCCTGAGCATGGCTTCCTGGAGCCCACCTTGGCAACAGCCACAACAGAGGGTAGGACAGAGATGAGGAGGCAGAAGTCAGTGAGGCAGTTGCTGGAGGAGGATCCTGGCTCCCTATCCCCAAGCAGAACTTCTTTCCATTCTAGTGTGTGTTTCCGCTATCCCAGGGTGTATTAGCTTCTCTTTGCAATACACGCATCCCCTATATACCTAACATCAGGTCAGGTACTATCTTTTGTTATCATGTGGGCTGGCCTGGGGCTTGCATCTGTGTGGTGAAAGACTGCTTGGCATGGCAAAAACAAAAAGATGGGAAATAACCAAGACCTTTGGGTTTGCTTGGAAACTTTCTATTACTGAGCATGTTTAATTTAATATTCAGAAGGAAAAAAATGCACCAGATGAAAAATAGTATAGAGTATAAATGGATTTGGCTACAACTTAGTTATAGTAGTGTCTCGTTAATCTGCAATTCTTAAATTTCCAAGAATGAAACTTCCTGTTCCAGTTGAAAGTCAGGCCTATCTGAGACAGATATGGAATTGATGTTTTTGCTTGCCAGTCATCCTGTAATTGAAAATTCATACATACACATGAATGAGCTGGTTGCTCTAAAGGCAAGTACCATAAAAGCATTAGTGTTTTCAAGAAGAAAATAGGTTGTCATATTTCTAAAGACTTTAGAAACAATTATTGCTTTCATTCTTAATCATGCTGGCCATCCAAATGCTATAGGACTTCATTTGTCTGCTTTGCAGTCAAGAATAGCAGAGTACCTCGCAGAAATTTATTTTTTTCTTGAGTTTATCTGTCAATTTTCTTATCTTTACACCATAAAGGATGTGGGTTTGAGTATTGAATTTGAATCATGATTTCTCCTCAGAGATGAGAATGAATTTCTTTTAAATTTAACTAAACTTATTTTCAAGTGTTCTCCTATCTTAAGTAGTCTTTTCCATCTGAACATTCCTTTGTTATTTGCAGCCTCTATAAGCATATTGGTTGATTAGAAATGAGACTTATGTGCACGTTTAGATATGGCTTATGTAGGCTTCAGATTTGTTCTTCTGGAAACAATCGTCTGCAGAATTTGGAGATTTAATGTAGTGTTACCACAGAATCCTTGCTATCAAACAATAAAGGCATTGTGCTTCTGTAGAAGATAGTTGCATAAGTGTTTAGTGCAAATTTATGATCCGTTCCTTGGTGCATAGCTAATTTGAGCATGCTCAGTAAATGAGTCCTGTCTTCTAAATTCTCTTGTTCACTTGGTTTTGTTCCATTTTACTAAACTTTGCATGTGCATGCCCTGAAGGATATGGAGAAGTCTTCAGCTGCAGAGAACCTTCTGGGAGAGACAGGAAGTGGGAAAGAAGTTGATAAAGATGTGGCCTTCTATATGATGGACATCTATATGATTTGGCATGTTGCTGGATAAGCATCATTCCACATACTTCAGCAGAAGTGGATCGAATACCCTTCTGTAACATTAGCAGTGTATAATTACATGCTTGGGAGAACTGAGTTCTGCCAGTTGATGGCATCTGGGAGAAGACGAATGAAGTTCTGTTTATCAGCATAGAACTGTGTGTGTATATATAGTGGTCTATGATTTTACTGATGCTGATTTCACAGAAAAATTCAGCTAGCAAATTCCCTCTCATAAATGTCATTTTGATATCAAACAACATAATGGGAGACTAATCATTTCTCATGACTTTTTGGCCTTCAGGTATAGCAAGGATAAACAGTAAAAGTTACTTTAAAAAGCTATATAAAACCCTTCTTCAGATCAGTGTTTTGACCCAATAAATAAAAAAAGGCAGAAGGTATTAAGAATGACTCAATGTCTTATAAGGTATTCTGCTTCTGGGTGGTAGCAGCTGTGGTTGTGTGCACTATTTTGGATCAGTGGAGAATGCTGTATCTACATCTACAGGATTAATTATGTACAGCATCAATAAAGAATTACTTGGGGACAGACTTACTCTGATAAGGAACAGTAAGAGTCCTGAATCACACTGTAGTGCAATTGATATGATTTATGTCAGGTTGCGCTGTCTCTCTTCTGACCTATAGAAGAGTGCTTGGGAAACATAGGGTTTTAGGTTTGTTTTCTTTTTTAATTGTCTTACTGGTCTATTGGGGGGGAAAGGGAGAAGAGGAAGAAGAGAAATTTATTACTTCATCCTGTTTTCCCCTCCTAACAGAGTAAGTAAGGACTCAAACATTTTTTTATTGTTTCTGAGGGCAGTTTTTAGAGGAAAAATAACATGTATTGGGAAAAGAGTATGTGTTTGCTGAATTACTTCAATCCCACTGAGAACTTCTGTAGGTATGTGGACCTGACTAGACAGAAATTCTCTTGCATGTTGTCTTCTCTACCTTCTTCATTTTCGAGCACTGCTGAGCTGCTTGGGCCTCTGTATAGTTGCAGCATCCAAAAGCTTGCAACAGCCCCTCTCAGTCATGTCTTTAAATTATGTGGATAAATGCCACTTTTTCAGTGTAACTGTTCTGCTTCACTGTCCCTGAATAGGATTGTCTGGTTTAGCATCCTGTTAGCAATGTTTTAACGCAAACTTTGAAGATGACTGGTGTACTTGTAATAATAAAACCTTAGGCATATTGTCTGGAGAAACTTTTTGGGCTTGAGAGGGGACTTCAGCTGCTGCTATTGCTGCCTGTAACCAAACACGCTTTCATCCAGCTTTGCATGAAAGGAAACATAAATGTTGGTTTATTGGAAAAATGGTCTTGCTTTCAGTATGTTCCAATTCTGTCATTTTTTTATTAGCATTTTTGATTATGTGTGGGAAGGCTGGGGTGGGGGATGGAGATGTGGTGGATTATGAATAAAAGATGTCACTATCTAATGTAAGAAAATATGCTAATGTCTCAATGAGAAGATGAAGGCCTAGTTTGACCAAATGGGGTGGGCAGGAGGGGGGGGGGGGAAGTAAACATGTTTTAGATACAGTTACAGGAAGTTAAAGTAAGTAACACACCTTCATTTTAGTAATAGCCCTTGAAACCTGAGAAACTTCCTTTTCTAAGGCCTTAGCAAGGAAGGAAGACTGCAGTAACATGAACTGCAGTCAGAAGAACTACCTTTCTGCTTCAGGGAGGCTAATGAGTCAAACAGAACTACATAAAAATTACATAATAAGCTCACATTGCTTTGTTCTGAGAGAGGCCTGAGAACTGTCTGATTGGAGATGGTTAAACGTCTTGTAAGCTTCTTTTGTTTCCTGAAATGAAGTAAGTTAGTTTAAAACAGAATAATAAAACCTCCTTTACAATTATCTTGATTTACACTTCAGAATATAAAGTTGGATCAGGCCATGCTTCCTCTACATAGAGGCGGCAATAACAGTGAAAGCTTTATGTCTGTGTTGCTTGCCATAATGTGAAATGTTTCTTAGCGCTCTGCTAACAATTAGCATGAAAGGATGAGCTTCCACTCAAGTGTTGGATTCTCGTACATCCTTGCCACCACTTTTTCCCCATTCCACAAAAGAGATTTAAACATGTTTGCTTGGTGGCAAGCTGAGTTGAGTAAACTTCCAGTAGAGCAGTACAGCAGCTTTAGCTTGGACAGATCCATAGGCTTTGCAGATTTCTTGCACATAATCAAGCTCTGTAGCTTTTTATAAATAAAAGCAAAATTCTTGTAGCCTGAATGTCTCCTGTTTTACTAACATGGTTAAAATTTGGCTTTTTTTTTCACTAAAATGAGATATGTGGACCAAAACCTCAAACTCTTATTTCCAGTTGTGAAATTTGAACGCTGTTCAGTTTTCTACTGAAACAGTAACTCTGTGAGTACTTGGAGCTTATTGGAGCTTAGAAGAAGGATTGGAATAAGATTAAAAAATAAATAATAAGTTGCCCTAATAATATTATAGGCCTGAAAACAAGCATTTAAGAAAGAAGTTTGTCAGGCCTTTTTTTTTTTTTTTTTCCTTTGAGGTACCAGTCAAAACCATAGTACATCTTCTACAACATGAAATGTTTCAGAGATTAAACTTCTCTTAATACAATGGTTGGTTGTTGAGGTGTTTTTCCCTCTGGAAAATCCAGATGCTGAGACAAAAGCAAATATGGTAGAAGCATTGTGCTAGGATTGCTGGAAATGCAGGGAGGATTGAGCTGTGCAGGAGGGAGAGCTACGAATTAGGTTAATCTCCAACAGAAAGTATAGTCATGTTATTTAATACGCCAGCTACAGACAACAGAAGCCTTGTGAATGTGGTTGCTGGCTAGGAAGGAACCTAACATTTTTTTTTTCTTGTAAACACATGCAGGAGGGGAATAGGTGCCAGTGTCTGCAAACAGAACTAAAACGCATTAGCCAAATGGGGCCTAATTTTTATTTATAGACAAAGTTCAGGAGATGCTGTGACTGCTAAAAGTGATGTAGAGGAAAGGCAAACCAAGCTCAGGGACTACTTACTGTTAGATTCCATTATTATGGTAAACATGACAGGAAAATTATTGGCTGCAAATCAGAAATTTTTAAGCAAGTGGAAACCAGATGGATTAGCAATTGAGGTTTGTTTGGACATTCTGTACGCATCTTTGTCTTCATGTAACTTGAATGCTTACTCTCTGTTCTGATTGTTTTGGGATTTTTTTGGTTGTTCTTTTCAATAGATACTGAAGGTGTGAATGGAAGAGAGGAATCCGTGAACCTTAATGATGCTGATGAAGGATTCTCATCAGGAGCTTCGCTCAGCAGCCAGCCAGTTGGGACCAAACCCCTATCAACTGTATCCCAGAAGGGCAGCTTCAGGAAAACAGCAAGTGGCCATTCTGCTAAGGATAAAGAAACCTCTTCTGCAGCAAAATCCAATGAGAGCCCTCGAGATCCAGTAGCTTGGAAGCAGTACATGCACCAATCCACTGACCTTGGTGCAGATATAATTGAGATGACACCTACGAAGAAACACCTCAGCCTGCCTGCTGGGCAGGTGGTGCCAAAAGCTAACAGTTTGAGCCTGATCAGGACCGCCAGTGCTTCTTCCAGTAAATCATTTGACTAC